AACCAGGAACCTGGTGGGAGTCAGTGGAAGGTCTGAGAGAATAAGGGGTGGCGGGTAGGGCAAGGCAACTCTGCTCTTCCTTCTCCCCAGGTCCACTGGAGACCTTCAGGGTGTACATGACCCACCCCCTACCCAAGCATGCTTCCTGCTCCATTTAAAGGACCCCATGCCTCAGGCTCCAGTTAGCCTCCCCATGTGTAGTGGACAACAGATGAGCATTTCAAATCTACAATTTTCCATCCTCAAAATGATAGGCAAAATAGGGCAAGGAACCAAAAGGAAAAAAAAAAAAAAAAGAGGAGGTAGCCAACAAAACTGTAACTCTGCAACAGAATTCCACCCCAGTGCTTTACTGATAATGATTAATATTTAACTTGGATATGAAAATGTCAGCATTTTAAAGTACAGTGTGATTCTGTCTGAGGAGTTCCCCCGCACAGTCGCTCAATTCCCAGCATGTCCTATCTAAGTAAACCCTGGGCGGAAAGACTAGAAACAATTCGGACTCCACATTTATTTAAAAAAAAAAAAACACAACAAAAAAACACCCTTGAAAATGCTAATCATTTCCATTGTGTTTAGAAATAGTTAAGTCCAGCTAGACTAAAATGATGTTCATAGATGGAGAAGGCTTTCAGGCTTTCAGGAGCCTTTGTTAACATCCCGGGCATTCTGCTGCCACGTGAAATGATGTGCTAGTCTTGGATCAAGAATCTCCCTTTTTCTTCGGGCTGACATCAACAATGAACTGGGGCTGACATAAATAATGACCTTTGTTCTTTCAGTTTGATGCCTGGTGTTTGGCACTCTTATGCACCATTTACTCTAGTTGGGAGAACCCAGTCCATATTACACTGAGAAAAATGCTATAAAATCTCACAGAAGACCTTCAAATTGTAGTGAAGGGCACCCTTTTCATGCCTGTTGTCTTTCTTATACTCTTCGTCAATACTAGACTGAGTTACCACACTCACTCACTGCCGTCAGGGTCAGATCCAACTCATAGCGACCCCTCCTTGGATTTCGGAGGTGGCATCACTATGGAAGTGGATTGCCCAACCTTCCTTCCGAGGAGTGGCTGGTGGGTTTGAATCACCAGCCTTCTGGTTAGTAGTCAGATGTCTCAGGCCCTATGCCACCACAGTTCCCAGATGAGATACAGGAATCCTTAAAAAAGAAATCTTTAAAAAAAAATTCTATGTGTCAAAAAGGGTATACCAAACTGTTACATTTACCCAAAATCAAGCCACTGCTATCAAGTCAATTCCGACTCAAAGGGACCTGGTAGGACAGAGTAGAACTGCCCCATAGGGTTTCCCAAGGCTGTAAATCTTTATGGAAGCAGACTGCCAAGTCAATCTGCTGGTGGGTCCAAAATGTCAGATCTTTCTTTTAGCACTAAGTGCTTAACCACTGTTCTGCCAGGGCTCCCTTTTCACATTTAAGACAGAAGTTTTTCTGCATCTTTCCCTTCAAGAAATCAGAATATTTTATAATAGTACTTTGCTCCTTCTTAACATTCCTTTTGTTTGGAACTCATCCCCACCCCTCCAATTCATTTCCTCAAGGCCTAACATCAATACTACACTCTCAATACAATGGTTGTTATCCAGGAGAGATGTTGCCCCGCAGCAGACATTTGCAAGTCTGGAGATGGCTTTGTTTGTCACCACTTGCAGGGGTGCTACAGGCATCTAGTGGGAAGAGGCCTAAACATCCGGACAGCCCCCACAAAAAGAATGATCTAGCCCTGCTAACTACACGTGGTCCCCCCTTTCCCCAAAACCACCTCAGCACTGTTTTACTATTTTTTTCTGTCATGAGCTTATTAACAGAACATCCAATCTTCTCAACAACAGCATACCCATGTAGCCAACTGCTAATTACTGACACTCACACAGAGGAGCTAGGCTGTAGGTAGTCAAGCTGAAACAGGGCTGCAGTCCTGACCTGGGTTTTTATTTTACTGCTGCTGCATAGTAAAAGAAGTCCTTCCAAACACCGGATGGCAGGCTCCTCGGGTCAGGGAGGAAACCAGGCATGAAGGCAGGGCAGAGAGAATCTGGTCAAGCTTCCCAACTTACACTAAGATAACTGCCAGTGGCAGGGTCAAAGGTGAGAGCCACGCAGATAAACAGGTGTTGGGCAAAAGACTGGTGACCCAAGTCGGGGGTAAGAAATAAATGTGAGGAATTATCAGAGGTGACTCTTGGAGCATTAATAAATTGTCCTCTCGATTAAGAGCAACCAGATACCACTTAACAAGCACAGTCTTTCTGATTTCTTTGAGTCTTATTATTTCTAACCGGGACAAGGTACTCTTCTAAATGTTAAAATCAAACCATTTCTCCAATCACCTTTACCTGTCAAAGATTGATCTTCAATCTAGATGTGGAACTTGAGAGACTTCATAGCCCCATGGCTTAGGCTACAGGATTCGAAATCCTATTTGCCTAATTTTTAGGCAAATGATGAGGAAGCACAACCACGAACTTTCTCACCCTCAGATTAGATCCCCATACACA